CTTCCCAGCTGCCTTTTTTGGTTAAGCCCATAGATTGGTCTGTGTGCTGAACTATCTGATGGACTTTGTCAACAGACACCCTTGCTCTTGGGCTTTTGGTTGTGTTGACTATCAGAAGGCAGTGGAAGGAAGGCTGAAGATGGTAGAAATTTGAATGATGTCACGTATTTATTCCTTGGCTCTCCACTGGGTCACCATGATTTATTGAAGGTCACATCTCTTCTTACGGTGTCCCAAAGGAGATGTCCATCTGTCCATCTGTCCTCTACTGGGTCCCTCGCTCCTAGAAGCCAGGCCCCCCACATCCTCATTTGTTGTTTCCCTAAATCCTGTCTACATTTTTGTGAACAATCTAAATGAACTACCCCAAGATTACTAGAATGTTCATATCTTTCCTGAAAGGGCCCAGCCTGAGGTGGTCTATGATACTTTAGGATATAACTTATACCTTATGATACCTAAGATGAAGGGTTTAGACTGATGGAAACCTTGGTCTTCACTTGCAGATTCTAAGTTCCTCCAAGTCGAGAGGAGCTCAGGTAGGCGTGGGCCTCGCCGGGCAGGACAGCTGACTTGCCACATGTTGTGGCAGGTGCTCAAGAAGTACTTGTTTATTCATTTTATTGACTCTTTCCAGGGGCCATGATGATGTCTTTGCTGTGGTTTATACGACCATCTTACTGTGACGTGTTTAGATAGGATACTTTCAGGGACTTGTAATAGGGAACAGACATCTTTCCGATTGTATCCATACTAGATCATGACAAGCCAGAGAGTGCTGTCACTCCTAGTGTTCACACTCTGCCCTTTTCCTTCCTCTGCCTCCTTGCTCTTGAGGCCTTGGGTTTTTTTTTTTTTTTTTGGTCAGTTGTGGGGCTTGAACTCTGGGCCTGGGTACTGTTCCTGTGCTCTTCAGCTCAAGGAGAGTGCTCTACTGTTTAAGCCACAGCACCACTTCTGGTTTTCTTGTGGTTTATTGGAGAGAAGAGTCTCATGGACTTTCCTGCCCCTGCTGGCTTTAAACCGTGCCCCTCAGATCTTAGCCTTCTGAGTAGCTAGGATTACAGGTGTGAGCCACCGGCGCCTGGCTGAGGCCTTGGAGTTTATACTCTGTTCACAGACTGGTGACGTGTCCTGTCAGATGAGGAGCGAGGGCCAGAGACTCTGCATTTCTAATGAGCTCTGGGTGCTGCTGCTGCTGAAGATCTAGGGATCCCGACTTTGAGCTATATCATCCGTGCCGAAGCCACGAGCCACATGCGGCTCTTTATGCATAGTGTCTGCTCTTGGATTTTCATCTCCTGATCTTGTTACCTCACCAGCGTATGTCTAGTGATTGATAGAAATCCAATTGAAAAAAAAAAATGAAGCCTCCAAAAAGGAAATGTGTTGGTTTTCATAAAAACAGAAAGGCCAGGGGAGCTGGTCTCAAAAACAGCAGAGTCCAAGGACTTAAACGATTTCACCACTGTAGTCATTTGTTTCATTCCATCTTATTCTTCTTTTCTCTTCCCTTCTTACTTTTTCTTTGGGTCTCCATTTGCCTTACCTTTAGACTGACTCCTCTTCCTAGCAAGAGCTTTGGCTACTTGTGACTACAGGGAAATATGATCAGGCACAAGTTCTCCTGGCACCTGTTTGGTCCTGTGTGGGAGTTGTGCACGGTCTGTTACCTGGCTAGGTAAATGGTGCTCCAGTGCACAGCTGTCTACTATGGGAGGGAGGTGACTCATCTTCTGGAAAGCCCCTAGAATCAGATGAGCCCTCTTCTATCTCAGAGGGTGGCAAAGATAAAAAATAAGAACATCGAGGTAAAGAGCTCATCACTGAGCTTATACCTATAGTAAAGGCACAATAAAAAAGATGGCTGTCATTTTTTCTTTTTAAATAATTGGCTATATTCAACTTTACTGATAAGGAAAATTAGGGGGATTTTTTTTGCCGATGATGCACAATTATGGAGAATGTGTGGTCAGGTCCTGGTCTCAGGAGGGCTTGATAAATTAACTCAGTGACTCCCCAAACTGTGATGAGGAGCGAAGGATATGGTGCCATGGACTATATCCTCAGTGGGGTGTGAGGAATTCTCCTCCTCTTCCTCTTCCTCCCCCTTCTCCTCCTCTTCATTTGTGTTGGTTGTGGGGTTTGGACTCAGGGCCTGAATGCTGTCCCTGAGCTCTTTTGCTCAAGGCAAGCACTCTACCACTTCGAGTCACAAGTGCCACTTCTAGTTTTCTAGTAGTTAATTGGAGATGAGTCTTGTGGACTTTCTTGCCCAGGCTGGCTTTGAACTGCAGTCCCCAGATCTCAGCCTCTTGAGTAGCTGTGATTACAGGCATGAGCCACTGGTCCCTGGCCCCAGATGACTTTCAAAAGACTGATGTGGTTGTTGACTGTTGCTCTCTCTGATTCCTGGGAGAGGGAGTGGGATTTTAAAACAGTATTCTCTTTAAATTCACTTTAATATGGGGGAGCTTTTGGAGGAATACCGAACTGGTGGGACAAAAGGTGAACAAATGCAGCATTGATATTTACTAGGAACGATGTTGAAAAAGAACTACACAACTTGTGGGGGAAGGGGATCGGGAGGGGAAAAAATAGGAGAAAATGAGGGAAGAGGTGACACTGCTGAAAAAGAAATGCACTCAGTCCCCGATTACGTAATTGTAGCCCATGTATAAATCACCTTTATAACAACAATAAAAAAATAAAGTCCCTTAGGGTGATTATCTGCCCTGCTATGGCTACTAGTGATGTGGGATGTTCAACTAACAATCAGTGGTATAAGCTGAGTAAACACAGATCCTTGAGGAACAATGTAACCCCTGGTGGTGGTTCCACATCCTCACGCTATGGTTGAGGATCCTTCTGTGTTTAGGTATTATGGGCCAGGAATTTCTCTTACTGGCATTCCTGATCTGATAGGAAAATCTTATTTAGAATTAATGGAATCTACTACCACGGGGCCTTCAGATGTTCTACTTCCCACATTGCCTCCTGGACCTCAAGAAAATCATTCTGAGATAACTGTAGTGGGGGGGCGTGTGTGTGTGTGTGTGTGTGTGTGTGTGTGTGTGTGTGTGTGTGTGTGAGAGAGAGAGATTTAAAACAGGTCAAACAAATACCTGGTTGGAATGGATAAAATATTTCTGTTCACACTTTAAAAGCGATTTACACATACACACACACAAACACACACACACACAGAACCAGGGTTCTAGACAAGTGCCAGACATCAACATGAAGCACTAATCCCTTGAGAAATGACAGTGTCCCAGATGTCAGTCACTGGCAGTCTGGGAGATAGAGGGGGAGGGACTTACTTCAGGTCACCCAATAGCCAGCAAGGCACCTAAGGTCTTCTCAGTCCTACCCTGATGATGTTTTACTGATGATTCCCTGATGGAACCCTGGAGAAGGGAGGCTTAGAGCTTCCTTGTCTGTGTCAAGTACGTACGGCAGGAGAGCTTGATTTTACAGCCTCGTTTGTAACATCAAATTTCCCCAAGATGGACATCCCAAGATGGATGCCAAAATAAATTTTCAACAAGAAATGACTGCATTAGAGTATCCCCAGGCTGAACTGTAGGAAGCCAGCTATTAATGAAGAAGGAGGAACAGAGGAAAAAAAGTTATAAAAACGTTTAGTCTTTGTTTTATTGAGTTACAACAAATGAGCAACAAGTTAGAAAAACTGGTTTTTATTCAAACTCCCTAGCATTTTTTTTTCTGCAGTGAACTCAAATCTGGGGGCTGTGGAGAGAGGAAGAGGGATTGCAAACATAATTCATATTGCAACATTTACACCAGATATGTCTCTTGGTTTTCCTTCTTTAAAAGTTAGGACTAACTGAAAAAAGTGCACTCAAGTAGCTAAAATTGGCCCAAAACAAACACATACACACTCAAATTAAAAACAAAAAAAAAAAATTCATGGTGAGGTTGCAAGCTGAAATCTTTTCAAATGCCACACCAAGAAAAGGAAGAAGAGAAATTAAAACCAAAGCTGTTTGTCTTTGTATCATCTAAAGAGGAAGATCATGTTTTTTTGTTTTAATTTCATAAGAATAATGAGGATGATAACAAATATAGGAGCCCTTTCTGCTGATATTTAAAAAGGTACGTAGAGAAGGTAGCCTCTGCTATCCTGCTCTTCCAGCACTGGCTGGGTCAAATCTGGCCCCAAGCAGTTAAGAAGTCAGACCTAAGCTAGGTGCTGGTGGCTCACGCCTGTAATCCTAGCTACTCAGGAGGCTGAGATCTGATGATCGTGGTTAAAAGCTAGTTGGGGCAGGAAAGATTGTGAGACTCTTATCTCCAATGAGCCATTTTTTTTAAAAGCCCAAACTGGAGCTGTGGCTCAAGTGGTAGAGTGCTAGCCTTGAGCAAAAAAAGGGACAGTGCTCTGAGTTCAAGCTCCAGGACTTGCAAAAGAAAAAAACAAAAAGGAAAAGAAGTCAGGCCCCTACTTCTCAGCAGTTCAGAAAGCCTGTGTGTGGCTAAGGCAGGGTTTTCCCCAAGGCAGCTGGGGGAAATGGGTTTGACTTGTGAGATCTGCCATCTATAAACCCATTCCAAGTTGAGACAGAGGTCCAACCTCAGCCCTTCCCACCAAGAAAAATTCCCAAATGTCAACCTACCCTCAAAAAGAAATCATCCCTACCTAAAATCCAGTAGCTATAATGGCATTACTAATATTCCCCTAAATTAATGAGAAAAAAATAGAGGAAAGGGAAAAGCAATGTGGTTAGCTCTCCCAATACTACAATAGTAGTGCCTTAAAAAGGAAGTTGCCCTCAATTAAAAAGGTAACAAAATTCCCACATTGTACAAATCAGTTCCAGTATAGCAAGAGATGGGGTCGGGTGGGAGAGGTGGCCAGGGCAGAGGAGCAAACTATATACAAGGGCCCATTGAAAATGCAGTAGTAGGACTTTGGCACTATGAACAATTCCCACGGGTCCTCTGGGAGGTGTGTGAGGAGTGGCTGCCCCCCCCCCCGTGCCCTCCAGGCACACACAAGCGAAGTTGCACTTGGAATCGCTGGCGAGGTGGCCCACATGAGGAACGTTTCTTCAAGGTCAGAGCATCTCCTTATCAGCAGAGTTCCAGCCAAGAGTTCCAGCCAAGTACCCTAGAAGGAAGACACAATCCAGAGACAGATGTCAGCAAAGAGGACCACTGTTTAATGCAGTGCAAAGCAGCTGGCTGCCCCTCCCTGGACCCTTGGGGGAAGGAGCATGGGGGGGGTAGGGGAGGATTTATTGTATGTCATTATTATTATTTTAGCTGTCCCTGAGCTTCTTTGGCTCAAGGCTAGCGCTCTACCACTTGAGCCACAGCTTCACTTCTGGCTTTTCTGGTGGTTAATTGGAGATAAAAGACTCCGGGACTTTCCTGCCTGGACAGGCTTCAAATCGTGATCTTCAGATCTCAGTCTCCTGAGTAGCTTGGATGACAGGTGTAAGCCACAGGTCCCCTGCTGAGGTGGGGATTTCTTCCCAAGCTATCTTGAGGGTTGGAGGAAGGACACACACCCTTCAGTGCCTACTCTGTTAAGATAGAAGTGTGTTTCCCAGACACAGACAGATACTAGGGGACATGCCCAGAATGAATTAGGCTTTTGAAAACAGTGTGACTTTCTGGTGGACTGCGACTCCTCTAAGCATCCTGGGAGGCAGCCGGTCCCCATGGCTCCTGGAGTCAGACAAACCTGGGGATGGGTCCTGTGGCTATGGGCTGTACCCATGTGATATCATCTTTCACAGGGATGTGACCCTATCCACCAGGTTGAATTGCGACAGTTCCATGAGTTAATGTATGCAGCAGGTTCTCGCAGAGTGCCTGGGTACTTGCTAAATATTATATGTGCTTTTGTCGTTGTTGTTTTTAATTACAGGGAGCCATTTGCAAGCATGGTAGGATACATAATAATAAGCAGAGAGATTTAGAATACATTTTATTTAATGTTGATATCAATCCTAAGAAGTATAGGTATTATTGTCCTTCCCATTTTACAGGTGAGGAAATGGAACAGAGAAGCTAAGTTAGTTACCTATGATCACACATTGGTAAGTGGCAGGGCCAAGATTTGAACCCAGGGAATCTCCAGAGTCTGTGCTCTTAACCAATAGTACTTACTAAACTCAGAATGGAGAAATGGTTTTGTTGTTGTTGTTGTTGGTGGTGGTGGTGGGGCTTGAACTCTGGGCCTGGGCGCTGTCCCTGAGCTCTTCAGCTCAAGGCTAGTGCTCTACCACTTGAGCTACAGCGCCACTTCTGGTTTCCTGGTGGCTTATTGGAGATAAGAGTCTCACGGACTTTCCTGCCCTGGCTGGCTCTGAACTGTGATCCTCAGGTCTTAGCCTCCTAAGTAGCTAGGATTACAGGCATGAGCCACCGGCGCCCGGTTCAGGAATGTTTAATTCTTACATACTTTATAGGAAGGTCTAAGGACCTTCCTATAAACCACAGGTCCTTCCCTTGGCGCTTCCTCACCTCCCTCAGCCTTTCTGAATTGGAGAGTGTTAGCCCTCACTCTGGATTAGGTTTTGGTTGAAGGGAATGTTGTAGCTCATTGGATTTTCTCTCCAGACCACTTAGCAATGAGGTTGCTTCATTTCCTTTCTTTCCTTCCTCCTTCCCTCCTTTCCTTTCCTTTTTTTTTTTTTTTTTTTACTTCTGTCTTCTTGGTAGTTAGTTGGAGATAAGAGTCTCAGGAACTTTTCTGCCCAGGCTGGCTTTGAACTGTGATCCTCAGATCTCAGCCTCTGGAGTAGACAGGCTTACAGGCATGAGCCACTGATGCCTGGCTTGGTTGCTTCACTTTCTAATCATATGTTGATTTTCAGTTTCCATTCACAGTTTCATTAACTGGCATAAGAAGTCTAGCTTTCAGCCTGTCTTAGCTTTTGACAAGCTTTTCTCACTAAATTTCATCTTTTTTTTCCCCTGGTACCATGAATTATTTCAGGATGATTATATGTGTAACCTCTTCAGCGAACTGCACTTTTCAAGATCATGCGTTTAAGGAGAGGCACCACTGAGAAAGTCTGAATTTCACGAGACCCATATTCTTGGTTCATAAAAGCTGTGAAATAATTTAGGAAGATGTTTTTCCCTCTCAGTGGGAAGCCTTCTTTAAGGTGCCTCTGATTGGAGCTTGAGAGAGCTTCCAGATTTCAGTTCTAGCCCAATATGGCAGATCCCCCAAATATTAGGGGTGTCTAATGTTGCCATGTGTTTAACACTTTAATGTTTTCCAGCTCACACTTGTGACATTCATCAGAATCAGAGTGGGGTTCTTGGATATGCTTTGATTTGGGGGATACAGCTAACTCCTACATCTCTGCATTTGTGGATGTTAATTCAAATGTCAGTGGTCATCCATGCACTAGTGGCTTAGCCATTAATCCTAGCTTCTCAGGAGGCTCAGATCTAAGGATCGTGGTTTGAAGTCTTGGGGGTGGGGGTGATCAGGCAGCCATAGCTCGCCCAGATGTGCATCTCAAGTAGGAGAGGCGAATAAACTTGGAAGAAAGGATGGGACAGTTGGCCCCAGGGGTGTCAGGGAACTGTCCCTTGGGAAACCTTTCAGGAAGTGCCATCCAAGTTCACTCTGCCATACTGTGCATCTTAACATTCAAATCCAGCAAATCCAGGTGGCTCACAACAGCTTCTATCTGTTATAGACAACCACGGGGCTCGCTTTTAGCTTAAATGAACCCAAACTCTGATTCCTGGCTATGCCAAACAGCTTATGAGCCTCAATTGCATGATTCCTTTTCTTGTGTCTGGACCTTGGCCTACACTGTTCTTTCTATAACAGGAGTGATTTTTTCTTTGTGATGGTACTGGGGCTTGAACTCAGGGCCCCAGAACTTGCTAGGCACTCTACTGCTGAGCTGCCTTACAGCATTGTTTGTACTAGTTATTTTTGAGATAGGGTCTGGCTTCCCTAGCATAGATATGTGTGTGGACTCTAGATCACTTCCTCTCAGAAGCTCCCCTGGCCTGCCCAGCCTGAGTGTCCGGACTGTGAGCACCATGCAGAGATGTGTAGAGTCTCCCTGTATCACATGACATACTGGTTAGCAGAGGAAAGCTCAGGTTGCACCCTCCGTAACCTCTTGGGTTCTGCACAAATGAGCAGGGACTGTGTCATCTGTCACCAGTTGTCTCTGGCCTCTATCACAGCATCTGGCACACAGCAGGTGTCTTGAATGTATGGCTGAATGGAATAGAACCCTATCATCCGCTGTGGGGTGAGCGGAAGACACTGGATGAGAAGACGTTACTGGATGAGAGGGAGATCAAGGATGGAAGACAGGACAAGTGAGGTCGACAAAAAAAAAGTCGCTTCTTCAGTTCATCAGAGGAAGATACAGGCTAGACTGATAGAATATTGTGTGTGGTGTGTGTGTGTGTGTGTGTGTGTGTGTGTGTGTGTGTGCACCTCAGGCCTTTGGGATTTTGCTTAGCTTTTCGCTCACAGAGGTGCTCTACTGCTTGAACCATGCTTCAGACCAGCTTTTTTTTTGCTGGGTAATTGGAGATACAGTCTCAGGGCCTATTCTATCAAGCTGGCTTTGGACCTTGACTCTCAGATCTCAGCCTCCTGAGTAGCTAGGGTTACAGGCCTGAGCCATGGCGCCTGGCTTGATTGACAAAGGGCAAGAAATTGGCTATAGCAACGGAAGCCAAGACAGCCAGATAGAGGTGGGCAGTTCCTACAGGAGACAGGATAGCATCCCAGGGTGGGAAGCTCATTAAGTTGTTCTTTTTTGGGGTTAGCTGGTAGAACTGGTTCAAAGAAAGCTTCTAGAAGATTCTCCTCATCTGCCAGGTGCTTTATTATCAAGTAAATGAATGCATGATGGTGGAGTTCATTACCACAAAGCTGTGGCCATTTCTAGGGCTCCCTTTAGGATCTTGTAAAATCATTAGAAGGTTCCCACCTCTCTGTCATTATTCTAAAGGATACTGTGAGACATGCCCCTTCCTTGGTCTTTTAATTGCTCTCTGGAGAAGTCCACCTGGGCCATTGCACATTTTGCCTTGCATTCCAGGCTGCCCTTGCAAAACCTTTCAGAAAGGAACCCCTTCTTTCCTCTACTCACCCCTAAGCCACCTGCTAAGCTGGGGCCTGGAGTGGCGCTGGCCCAGCCAGGAGCACATGCACAAGACATGTCCCATTATGTGCGCAAAGAGGCCATTAGTAACCATAGCAACCTCCCTTCCCTGGCTTTTGTGGCCCTACAGGTCTAAATTTACACAGGTGTCTTCAGACTTGAAGGGGTCTCAGGACCTCAGTGGAGAGCAGCTTCCTTGAGCCACAAGAAGGCAATATATAAAGCATTTTTAGAGCATTTCAGGTGAAATGAAATAACCTCAAATCTCCAATTCAGTCAACTTAAATACTCTTGGTAGCATCTGGAAGGAAGCAAAGAAAGAGATGCTATCCTTTTTACTGCTTAAAAAAAATAGCAGCAAGGGCAAAACACACAAGAGATGGTGTTGGTCTTACTGTTCTGACAAGACAAGTATGGGACAGGACCAACAGCTGCTGTCCGAAACAGGCCACGGTGCGAGGCTGTCCCCGGCTTAGCCCAGCCTTGTAAGTAAGTACACATGACTGACTGCCCGTCCCTGTTTTCCTTTCTCTTTTTCTCTTTGAGAGAGGATGCGTCTACCAGAAAAAGAATGGTAAGTGGGCCTGTGGTAGACAGTATGAGTTTGTGAGGCCCCACTGGGTACATCACGTGTTCAGAACATCATGTTGTACAGAGGATGCGCACACAACAAGCACGGGCTGTGGCTCCTCATGTAAAGTACCACAATCCAAAATGCTGCCAAAATAAAAAATGTCTTCAGCTCCCATAGGAGCCCCAAATTCTACACGATGGAACTCTGGTTCAAGCACAAGTAAAACAGAAACCGCAAGGATGGGAGGCATGGCTCAGGTGGTAAAATACCAGCTGTGAGTAAAAAAGGTGAGCTAGGAGGGGGAATGATAGAAGGGGTGAGATCGATCAGGATGTATTGTACTCATAAATTCACATGGTGAATTGAAACCCCTTTGTGCAACTATGTAAGATTAATACATTTTTTTTAATTTGAAAATGCTGAGGGAGAGTGAGAGGCAGAATTCAAGTCTAATACTGGCACAAAATAAATAAGCAACAAAAATACATAGCACAAAATAACCTTTGGGCTGTGTGAATAAGGTGTTTATGAAATATAAATGCAGTTCATGCTGAGACTTAGGCCTTAGACTCAAGATACTGTATCATGTCTTGTTTATATACATATATATATCTCTAAATATTCCCAAATCTTGTTTACACATATATGTAAATATTCTGAAATCTGAAAATGCCTCTACCCTCAAGTGTTTTAAATAAAGGATAGTCTATTTTTTTGTTTGTTTTTTTTTGTGGCTAGCATTGGGACCTGAACTCAGGGTCTAAGCCCTGTCTCTTAACTATTTCTGTCAAAGCTAGAATTCTACCACTTGAGCCACACCTTTGCTTTGGGCTTTTGCTGGTTAATTAGAACTAAGAGTCTCAGAGACATTTTTTATCTGGGCTGGTTTTGAACTGCAATCTTCAGATCTCCTGTATAAGACTTCAGGTATGAGCCACCAATGCACAGGTCAGGATAGTCAATTTGCAGATCACATCAAGATTCTATTTGTTATGTAGGTGATCTCTCTCTCTCTTTCTATATGTGATACACACACACACACACACATATATATATATACATACATGTATGTATGTATAGATATGTACCATTCTTGTCAATTAGTAAATATTAATTTGAGAGGATGTATCATGTAAGCACCACCTTGTCAATGGAGAGAAAGGAAAGCAGCATCCTTGCACTTGGGGGTGCGCAGGTGGGCTTACCTGGCTAGGCCTGGCTAGCCTCTGCAGGAGCGCCGTCCGAGTCCGAGTCGGCCCCTTCTGCGGTGCCATCTCCTGCCGCCTGACTCCAGCTATCTGACTTGTCTGAGGTGGCGTCCTCCTCTCCCACGGTCACCTCTACGAAGTCCACAATGCCGGACTCCTCGTTCTCGTCACTGCCCTCAGACCCGTTGGAGGTGGCCTCCGAGGGCTTGGCCGCTAAGCTGTCCTTGGCCTGCTCGCTGGCTGCTTTTCTTCTGGGGACTGACTTTTCCAAGTTTTCCTCGCAGAGCATTTTGGGGTCTCTGTGGTACTGCGGTATCACCTCGCTCCCGTTCTTTGGGCTCTCGCTGATGGGTTTTGTGACTTTCCTGGTGACTGCCTCATAGCCGGACTCGTCGGAACTGTGTGGCTGTGGATAGTGGTCCATCCACTTCAGGGCTCCAGTCTTTAGCAAGCATCTGTTCTCCTTGAACCAGCGCACGATCTCAGTCCGGACCAGGCCGGTCTTGGCCGCCAGCTGGTCGTACTCTTGTGGAGTCGGCCACTGTGTTCTTGCGAAGGTGCTTCTCAGGAGATGAACCTGTTCTTGACTTTGTGTGATTGCTGGTGAGGGACTGGGCAGGGAACTGGATAGCTGGGCACCGGAGAGCTGGTCAAGTCGAGACAGAGCACCATTGGGAGTGACCACATCCGGGCCTTTTTTGCTAGATCCCATGGAATCGAGGACAGCCTGCTCCATGCTGTCTCGAAGCTTCCGTCTCTCTGAGAACCAAGAGTCGATCTCTCTCCTGCTCAGCTTGGTCTCCACTCTGAGCCGATCCAGTTCTGCTTGAGTAGGAAAGGAGCTTTTCAAAAAGCTGTCTTCCAGGATTTTCACCTGACCTTGTGTTTTCTCTTTGAACTTCTGGGGGGCAAAGTCCGGGTAGGCATGGTAGGTGCGGCCGTGTCGGGAGGTGGAGATGGCCATCTGGTCTTTGGCAAGGGACTCGCTGGTGATGTGGACAATGCCTCGCTGACACCGGTACCGGTGGTCGCTGAACCACTTCTTGATCTCACTCCTGGCCAGGCCGGTTACCTCGATGAGCCGGTAGACCTCGGCATCGTCAGGAAACTGGCTCTGGAGGAAGCTGGCCTTGAGGTGTGCGATCTGCAACTTGGTCTTCTTGCGGTCGCTGGCTGGTGGGAGCGGGGTGTTGGCCACCTTGGGGGGGGGAGGCTCTGGCACCTGGGCGATGTGTGGCCTCTTGGGCTCGGGGGCAGCCTGGGGAGTCACCAGAGGTCTCTTGTGCCCGTGGTTGGTCACTCCAGCCACAGCCAGTGTGATGGGTGAGCAGGAGACAGTAGTGGACCCGCTGGTCACTTGAGTCAGCACAAGGCTGGTCTGGCCAAGGATTTGGCAAGGGAGCGCTGTCTGGAGGATGGGCTGTGACACCTTGGTGGGGGCCAGCTGGGCAGGAAGCACAGTGATCGTGGGGGGTACGGATTGGATGGTACCGTTAAACATCTTCTTCCGGGCCTCCTCTACCTCCTCCGGGGACCAACTGATGCCATGCTTCAGGCGCTGGGTGGCGAACCAGATTCGGATATGCTCCTCTGGGTGCTTGGAGGCGGCCGTCAGCCAGGACAGCTCAGCCTGGGTCGGGTAAGGGAACTTGTTGAAGGAATTGATCATGGTGGCATTTGTGTCCAGGGCGGAGTTGTATTTGGTAGTATTCAGCGGGACGGGGACCTTGGGGACAAGGTTGATATTTGGTGGCAGCTGTACAGAAGGCATGACGTGTCCCAAGGAGTCTTGGAGGAGCTCTACGCCCCCGAGTCTCGACAGTATCTCCGCCGTGTCCGTCACCAGGCGGGCTGTTCCTTCCATGTGGTTTTCGGGGATGGCCTCTTCAGGCTTTTTGGGGGCCTTCTTGGTGTCAGCTTTCGGTTTTCCTGCCTTCATGATGGGGGTTTTACTCACGGGGATCCCAGGATCGCTGTCCCCACTGCCGGGGCCACCGGTGGTGATGGACCCGACGTGATTGGTGGCTTCGATGGACTGCTCCAGGACGGTCTGATTATTGCGCTTGATTAACTTTAACTTGAAGTTGGCCTCCCCGGGGTGGAACTTAGAGTTGTGCTCTGACAAGGAGTCGTACTTTTTGGTGGTGAAGTTGCACTCGGCGCACACGTACAGGGGGTTGAGGATGACGTTGGGGTGCTGCATGTCCACGTGCTCTGTGAACTCGTTCAGGTTTTGGGTGGAGTAGGGGCAGTATTTGCACTCATAACCCCCCTGGAGCTTTTTGGATGGGTTTTCCCCTGTGGGTTTCACCTCTATTAATTCACTTTCTTTGGAAGAGTTTTCAGGATCTGCTGCCCACCTGTCCTTGGCTCCGTCAGACGGGGGGATGCCCATGCCTTTCTCTTTGGCCCTGTCTGCCTCCTCGGCCACATCTTGTTCTACCACTTGGGACGTCCGAACCATGCACGGAGTTGTAGATTTTCGTTTGCTCGCCATGTTGACTGGGTGCCACAATGCCTTCGTTTTGGAATCTGGGGGAGGGGAGCACAGTGGCAGTCTTGGGACAAATAAGATGGCACGCTTGCTTTGGGTTTTACTCCCTCTCAGGTGGCTTTGGCTTTCCTTGAATGCTGAAGTCCCCTCTTACCGTTTTCAGAACGCTTTTCAGCACGAGCAATTGTAAATGCGCCCACCGCTATGCTCACCAGGTAGCATCTTATCTGTGAGACAAGCACAAAGAGAGATTCCGTGTCTTTTCACAACTCAAAAGCAACTCACAGTTCTTTTTGATTTATTTCTAAGCCTCACCCCAAACTGGCACCCAGAGCCAGTTTGCTACTCATGTAGCAAAGTGGATCCTTATAAACATGAAAGGTGATCGTCTCTAACCACCTCGGGCAGGAAGTAGAAACAACTTGGGGGAGAGGAGGAGCTTCACCTTAGGTTTAGATAAGAAAAGGTGCAGAAAAGAAAAAGAAATGGTTTTCTTGACACGTATGACCAAGTCTTTGCGTCAGAGGCCCTACTTCCTGCCTAACCTCCAAAAAACGTTACCATTAAAAGTCTTGCCACTGGGCATTGGTGGCTCTGGCCTGGATTCCTAGCTCTGAGGATCGCAGTTTGAAGCCAGCCAGGGCAGTTGTCTTTGAGACTGTTATCTCTAATTAGCCACCAAAAAGCTGGACGTGGAGCTGTGGATCGAGTGGCAGAGTGCCACGCTTGAGTAAGAAAAGCTAAGGGGGAACAAATGCACGTGCCCACACCCACACCAAAAGCAGCCACTCGCCCATTGGCCGCCCATGTTCTTTTTTCTCCTATGCTCACTTCCAGAGTCCGGGTGATGTCATTTTCTATCCTGTCTCTACGGATGGCCTGTGGTCTCTGAGAGGAAGAAAAAGCAGGCCAGACTGCCAGACAAGCTCCCTGTGGAGCCTGGAGCTTGCAGGGCATGTCCTGTTCTTTATCTCCGTAGGAAGGCATCTGGGACAGGGCTGGCAGAGGCCTGCTGCTGGGGGTCTCCAGCCTGGGAGGGGAGCATGAAGGCAGGAAGTCAGAGAGCCCTGTAAAGCCCCACATCAGTGCCTGGAGCCCAGAGGCCTCAAGTGTGGCACTCAGGGAAATCACATCTTGAGGCTCCAGGAGAAGGGGGACAGGACAGAACTTCTCATTTCAGGGCTTTTCATGGTGGTGAGAGGCTGTCAGAGGAAATAACAGGGCTGTCTGGGAGCTTTCAAAGCAAGCACCTTGTCAAGAAAGACATCAAAGCCAGAAAAGATGGTTTTTAGCTTTGCAGGGTCTTCTGGCAGAGCTGTTAATAGATCCTGCCTCAGGTCACTAAGGTCAGATGTTTTTCTGGGAGTGGGAATGGCTCTTTTGTGTTTTAAAATCATAACATTACCTGAGTCTCAGCCGTGGGGAGGAATTCTGATGGGTAGATATGGTGGAGGATGTGGTCAATGGGTGAGGCGAGGATGAATTAGATGCTGGATTTTTAAAAAAAATTGATAATGGGGCTTGATTCGGGGCCTCAAACTCTTTTTAAAAAATTTTTTTATTGTAAAGATACTATACAGAGGGTTACAGTTACATGAGTAAGGTAATGAGTACACTTCCTATCGGGCATTATTACCTCCTCCATTGTTTTCCCCCTACCATCCCTTCCCTCCCTACCTTCCCCGAGGTTCTTTTTTTTTTTTTTTTTAGTTGTGATTAAGTGATTACATACTTTCCCAAATTTCACAGTATTGTGGAATAATGATGCTCATTTAAGTCACAAGTTCATTCTAACTTTCCTGGAGCAAATTGTCTATCACGGTCTATAACATATAACGGTGTACACATATACACCATACATGTGATCAGCAGCATGGGGATATTTAGTAGTGGTTCGACCAGATGAGTGGAAGTTCTTTGTTTCCTAAGTCCTGTTAATTTTGTCGTATCACCTAACATTTTGGATTTAGCATCCACTTATCAGGGAGACCATGTACCATTTGTCTCTTTGCTCTTGGCTTACCTCGCTCAACATGATTCCTTTTAGCTCCATCCATTTCCCTGCAAATGCCATTATTTTGTCATTTCTAATGGCTGCATAATATTCCATTGTGTATAGATACCACAATTTTTGGATCCGTTCATCTGTGGTGGGGCATCTGGGTTGTTTCCATATCCTAGCTATTGCCTCACACTCTTTTTTAATATGTAGTTTTTATTGTAAAGATACTGTAACAAAGGGGTTACAGTTACATGAGTGAGATAATGAGTCCATGTCCTATAGAGCATCGTAACCTCATACTCTTTGTTTGCTTTTCCCCTCACAGCTTGTGCTCTACTACTTGAGCCATGCCATCAGTTCTGGCTTTTTTGCTGGTTAAATGGAGATAAGAGTTTCTTGAACTTTTCTACCCAGGCTGGCTTTGATCCTCAGATCTCAGCCTCCTGAGTGGCTAGGATATGGGCATGAGCCACCAGTGCCTGGTCTGTATGGTTTTCTTTTATCCATTGTATGTAAGTATGGGGTTGTTACAACAACTCTCCCTTGTACGGACTAAGCTTTGCGAATAAAGTGTTGAAAAAAATGAAGCAACGCTGACTAAGTGACTGAATTTCGGCAACTGCCTCCACATGTAGTTGTGTTCCTCCAACAGGAAACTGGTATCTCGTCCAATGGCAGCTGAGCTGACAGTGAGCTCATTTGCATACAGCGCTGCCTCCGTGCCTAATTGTGAATGAGAGGCGCTCTGAGCTCCCAACCCAGACCACCTGTTGTGGAAATGAGTTCATCCAACTCCTCAAAGAAAGTGTGTGAGGACAGCTGCTCACACTTCTATCACCTCTATGGATTCTGCTCACTGCTCTGCTGCCATCTTTCTTTTATTTATTTTTTTTTGGGGGTCCGGTCATGGGGCCTGAACGCTGGGCTTGAGCACTGTCCCTCAGCTCTTCAGCTCAAGGCTAGCACTCTACCACTTGAGCCACAGCGCCACTTCCAGCTTTTTTCTTTTTGCTTATGTGGTGCTGAGGAATTGAACCCAGGGCCTCGAGCATGCAAGGCAAGCGCTCTACCACTGAGCCACTTTCCCAGCCCTGCCATCTTTCTTTTAGCTGTTGGAAATAACCCACCTGGCTGACCCTGGAGCAAGCCACCATATTCAAAAGCCCTCCTAGGCTCTGGCTCTTTCAGCCACTCTTTCTTAATCTCTGTTTTCTTGTCTAGCTTCTGCTCTCTGCAAGTGCAGCTCTATGCCCTAGCTCTTTCTCCTTCTGCTCTTCATGCTCCTTAGGATACTCTTTGGACCAAAGTTCCCAACTCCCCTTTGCAGATATCCACCAAACCAATCCCTCTATCTCCTTTATTTCTCTCCAGAGCCCTCCCTTCCAAGTTAGCAGCCACCAGCAACAAGGTAGGAGGCTGGAAGAATCTGTACCTGGGCAAAGCCTGGAGAAACCAGTCCACCTGAAGCTGATTAATTTTGAGTAGTACTTGGCATGTGCTCTACTGCTTGAGCCATGCCTGCAGTCCCCTAATATTTGTTTTTTTGCTAGTGGTAGGGCTTGAACCCAGGGCCAGGCTGTCCCTTAGCTTTTTTTTTTTTTTTAAAGCTCAAGGCTAGCGCTCTACTACTTTGAGCCCCAGTACCCCTTCCAGTTTTCTGGTGGTTAATTGGAGATAACAGTCGCACAGACTTTCCTGCCTACACTGACTTTGAACTGCAATCCTCTTGAGTAGCTAGGGTTACAGGTGTGAGCTATTGGTGCCTGACAAGATAGGCCTTTCATTCTGTTAAGCCACAAGTATGTGGGTGTGCATGCCCATGTGTCAGAGAGAAAGAGAGAGAGAGAGAGAGAGAGACAGACAGACAGACAGACACATAGGGAGAAGAAATACTCAGTCATGGAAGTTCTGTTTGCCATTTTGTGTGTATGAGAGGGTGGAGGGGGGTGCACTGCGAGTACTGAGGTTTGAACTAAGAGCCTGGATGCTTTCCCTTACTGCTCAAGGCTGGTGCTCTACCACTGGAGACACAGCTCCACTTCCACAAAGGTTCTGTTTTAGAACAGAAGATGGAGATATTCTGGCCCAGAGAAATTTTCCTCCCCTGTAACTTCCTCACTACCTGAACAACCACAGGAGACAAAGACAGCACGAGCACACTGCAGATCTGTTTCCAAGTCTGCTCTTCCTGCCCCTAATTGGCTGGGCCACCTTAGACCAGTTACCACCTCTCTCTGGGTCCCAGTTTTCTCAGTAAAACCAAACATCTGGACACCTTACTCCCTTACTTTGAGCCACAGCTCCACTTCCAGTTTTTAGGTGGTTAATTAGAGATAACAGTCACAATCTTTCCTGCCCAAGTTAGTTTTAAACCTTGATTCTGAGATCTCAGCCTTATGTGTTGCTAGGATTACAGGCATGAGCCACTGGCACCTGGCTCCCTAATTTTTTATTTTTTGCACTTCAGAGCCTGGATGCTGTCTCTGAGCCTCTTTTTGCTCAAGGCTAGCATTCTACCACTTGGCCACATCACCACTTCCAGTTTTTTTTTCTGGTTAGTTTATTGGGGAAAAAAGTTTCGCGGACTTTTCTGCCTGGGCTGCCTTTCAACCACAATCTTCAGATCTCAGCCTCCTGAGTAGCTAAGGTTACAGGTGTGAGCCACTGGCATCCACCTGCATAAAATCTTTTTACACAAGGATGATCCATAAAAACTAAGGAATATAATCAACAACTACAACATGGACAGTCATTCCCATTGCACTGGACAATGCCTTTTGCCAGGTCCCTCCTCTGAAGGGAAAATGGGCAAGACAGAGCCAGGTGCACCATTTATGCTTCTGTGATACCTGTGCACAGGGCTCCGGCGTCCCTCAATTTTAACATGTCTAGAACCAACCCAGCTAAATGCCTCTCCAAAATGGCTTTTGTGTACCATTCCTTATTCCAAATGAAAGCATCAGCATCTACTCATTTAGGTTGAAGTCCTGGATTCCTCCTTTTCCTCCATCCTATAGTTTATTGGGAACTGGGCCTTTCTGATTCTGTCCCATGTCTCCTAGTTCTTATCTCATTGCCGTTATTTTGTTCTTTTCTGGAGGTTCTGGGTTTGAACTCAAGGCTCATGAGGCAGGTGTTCTACCACTTAAATCACGCTTCTAGCCCAATTATCTCCCAATGCTTCTGCTCCAGCTAGATGGTCTCATGACATTTCTTGGCCTGGCC